CTTGGAAATGTAATCTTCCATTTTGATAAGGCGGATTGTAAAGGAAATATAAACAAGCACGAAGAAGATTGTAGGTAGCGCAAGAATCTGTGGGCTCACTAGCGCCCTCTGCCTTAAGGTAGGCGTACTGTTTGCCTCACCGAGTAACTTTTTTACTGGGTTTTATGGTTAATCTGCGAGCCTAAACACGTTACAGAACTACATTTTATACATTATCCAGATTATGGCAAGGCAGAGCATATAATCAGAGTGTTTGAAAGCATTTTATTTGCGATATATAGAGGGACAGCGACACACTATTTGCATCGCATACAGTTTGAGAGGATTACACGATCCACCGAGAGGCACAGCAAAGTGCTGCCTCATAACTTTTTTTTCTTTTCAAGATTGACAGGGGAGGCTCTGCCTCACCTGCCTCCCCTGACCGCACGTCACTGGTGATCTGATGCCCCAAACAGCGAGGTGTGCTCTGTAACATCCAGGCAATAGTACGATTTGGTTTCTTCGTTTGATGGGCTGTCACATTTCACTGTAGCTGGCTCAGGTGTTTCAGATACCTGTGGTGTGACTGGCTGACATAGGTTACGATAATCACCAGATCGTCCCATATTCCATCTCTCCCACCGGTTCCTTTTACACTTTGCGCTGCTACATCTGTATGAACCAAGCGCAACACAATTTGTGCCACAACAGTTGCAGATAGATGTGAGATGAGGATGCTGCTGTACCACGAATATGTTTTGCACAAATGAAACTGTGATTCTTGCTGGTTTCTAGTGATAAAATGAAATACTGTTGTGAGATGCGACAGCCCTCATCTGGAACAATGAGATGACAAACATGTAAGCACATATCAGGAGAAATGATGAAACTACACATTAAGACTTCAGCTGCCCCTGTGCTGCACTGTTGCATATTCCCATTGGCTACCACAAACCAATCCAGAGGCTGCACTGAATGGGTGGAATGGGTTTTTGGGGGATTCTGGTGCCCGTGGTTATACAGTTAGTCGCCTAACACTGTTTTTGTGGATTACGCGGTGGAGTCATTAAACACATCCACTTTGTCACTCCTTTCGGTTTCGTTCATCTCCAGCTTCTTTCTGATAGATTCGTTTGCAGCTCAGCCAATCCCCGCTGTTCTCCGGGTTTGATCTTATGACAAATATACTCTCGTCTCTGTTCACTTTGAGAGGAAGATTTATGAAGGGGTCTGTTGACTAATAAATGGACACAAGTGTGTAATGCTATGTCTTGTGGAGATCCCAGATGAGAATGAAAATAAGCACACAAATAGTTATACGTTTTAAATATCAAATAAACTACTATATTGTAGTATTGTAGTAGTGCGTCTGTGAGTCTTCCTGTGATAGACTGGCGATCTGTCCAGGGTGGACCCCGCCTCTCGTCCAATGTCAGCTGGAATAGGCTCCAGCCCCCTGCGACCCTTTTCAGGAATAAGAGGTATAGATAACAGATGGATGGACTCGTGGTGCACTGTGGCTCAGATGCGTAACCAGCAGTCAGAATCAGGATGAAATGCCTCTTGAATAATTCCGAGAGAATCGGTCGAGTGATAAAAATTGCAACAGTTTCTCATCATTTGCACACATTTGATGATGAGGCAGCAGCAGCACTGACCGTGGGCTATAGGCTGTTGGTTTCACACGAAGCTGGAGTCTGACAGCCTGCTTTAGATCCATCACTGCTGCGCAGGGGCGCACAGATGCGTCTGCGCGAGTGGAAGTCCGGCAAGGCGCCGATTGGCTCGACATGACATCATCCAGTCAAGATCTATTGTTGGAAAGAGGGTGAGCTCATCCTTTAACAGCCAGTTTGAGGGAGCAGAGTGAGGACAGAGGACGCCGTAGCAGCAGAAGACAGGAGTCTGTAAATCTGCAGTGGGCTCCGGCTATAGACAGCAACAAGGGCCAGGCACGCTTACTTCCAGTGAGTAATAGCCTGAATCAGCAGCATTGCTAATTTGTGCGGGGAAACACACTAAGTAGGAAAACATCGTATTTTCACATTTGGCTGGTTGTTGGGGTTCAGATGGAATCAATATGCTAAAAGTTCCCAGTCGCTCTGTCCCTGCGCATTGGTAAAAGAGAGCAACTGGACACTGTGGAACCAACTAAGTTGCGAGAACAAAACAATCTGCCTCTAATTTTCACATGTTGCCGCAGATATGGTTTGGTCACGGGAGAGAGACGCGGAGCGGCCTCCGCTGTCGGTTATCCTGCCGAGGCTCTACCTTGGAGCGGAGAGCGACGTGACGCAGGTAAGACGAAGACTAAGACGGTCCATCCCGGTTCCTATCCATTTCATAGGCCTAATGGTTTTGAATATTAGTTCCGCTTTCTGCATTGTACTCTAAATAAATAAAACCTAAAAAGGCATTAATTAATTTGTGTGCAGCGTTGCCCTTTAGTTTTTGGTTGAGAATTACTTTTAACGACCTTTAGACAATCGTGTTTTTTTAAACTATGCAAAATCTGATTCTACAACATCTGGGTGCAGTGTGGAGGATTTACCCCTGAAATGTAGTGGAGTATAAGAGTAAAGTAGCAGAGAGAAAATACTCAGGCATAGTTAACATCTTCCACTGTGAACTATGATGTAAAACAGCCAAGTGCAGTCTTTTACTTTATCGTGCTTTTCAATAATGTTGTTTTAAATAAATAAACATAAGCCACATAAAAAAAACATAACAATGCTATATAACAGTAAAATCCCATTTAGTTGGGGGACACAGACAAGTAAATGATAGCTGTTCTCAAGTGCATATATAATATTCACATGAGATCAGCTTTGGAATTGTTAATTAAATTCCAATTTGAATGCATCATCAACAATAATATTAAGTGAGTGGGTTGCTTAAACATAAATAGCTAATAACAAAAGTTTCATTCATGTCAAACACATCAGATTTTATATTATTTACAAGTATTTTCCATTCTTTGAATAATAGCCTTGAACTAAAATTGCATTTCAAATGTCAAGGTTCTAGGTGACCAAACGTCTATAGCTATAATTCTAGGTGTATCTGTATTCTATTGAATAAAATAATGAATTATGGCTAAAGATCTGTTGCAATTACAAAACAACACAGCAGATTTCAAAGAATTAGAATGACTGGGGATAGTCAGTTGTGTGTGGGGGTTGGGGGCAGACACAGCCTTATGTTTTCATAGTCTAAATTATTCCAATTGTTTCTGTGTTGTATCAATATTAAGCTGCCATAGCCTAGACTTTAAATCTGAAAATTTGAAGGAAGTGTGGAGTTGCATTCATGACAGCTTAACATTGTTATGACATGACCTGAATTAGTGCTATGGAAATGAACATTATGATGAGTTTATCAAGACAATAAGAAAACATGTAGGAAGTGTTGAGTTTACATGAACTGGGGAACAATAACGTCTGGTTCTAATATACATCTGTCCCAAATAAATGTCCAGTTTTCTCTGCCGCTGAGGTAGGCCTAAACAACCCGGCCACTATTTGAGAATTTACTATAGTGCAAAAAGCATTAAAGTACTTAAAACAGTAATGCTGAGTAACTGAGCATACCTTTACTATAATACTCCCCTCATATGTCATTATTATCATATTCTATAAATGAAGTGGGTAAAATCCTGTGGCTTATAGAGTACATCGGCAGTGGTGATCTGTTTGCCTTGAGTGTTTCAAGACAGCACTGACGTCTCATTTTGTAATATCATTTAATGAAGTTTATGGGGATTGTAAATATTTAATTTGATTGCCATGTTTTGCGTGTGTAGGACCGGCTGGCCTCTCTGGGCATCTCCTATGTGCTGAGTGTGAGCCGCTGCAGCCCCCAGCCCTCCTTTCTACCCCACTCACGATATCTTCGTATCCCCATTGATGACTCTCTGTGGGATGACCTGCTGCCCTGGATCCCACAGGCTGTGCACTTCATCGGTCAGGACCATCATTCATCATCCCACCAACATAACAAGCCATTTTACAAACTGATTACCTCCAATGCCTAATAAAAACAACAGTCTAGTTTCCCCAGTGTCTAAATATTAATCGTATTTAAACAGCTGATTTAAATAATAGTTCAGTGCTGCTTGTCTCACACTGTGCACTGTGACTAACTGTCAGTGTGGTGTATGTTTAGATGCAGCCATGTCATCTGGTC